CCCCGGGGCTGGGCCCGCAGCTGGCCGCCGGGACCCCTCACGGCATCACAGACATTCTGAGCAGGCCCGTGGCCACCCCGAACAGCAGCCTGCTCTCCGGCTACCCCCACGTGGCGGGCTTCGGTGGACTGCTCTCCCAGGGCGTCTACTATGGCCCCCAGGTGGGGAATTTTTCCAAGGCTGGGAACGAGTACCCCACCCGGACCCGGAACTGCTGGGCGGATACGGGCCAGGACTGGCGAGGCGGGCGGCAGTGCAGCAACAGTGAGTCAGCCCACTCAGGCCTGGCTCCATCCAGGGGCCCAGGGTGCAGTGACCCCATTGCAGTCCCACCTGCGATCTAGGGGGCTTGTTTCCTACCGTCCTCCTCAAGGTTCAGGTCCATAGCCCAGCGACAACCGCCCAGCCCCCAGGGGCAGCTGCTGAGCCAGGTCAGACTCCATGTAGCTGTGGTGGGGGCTGTCCTACCCCTACCCATCCCCAAACCTATTTTCAAAGAACCGGCTGGAGGGGGGGCAGGACATGCACAGATAGGTGAGGCTCACCTGGGAGGCAGGGAGGGCACAAGGGCTGCCGGAGCCATTCCCTGCCACGAGGCCCTGCCTGCACTCCTGTCTGAACGCAGGGCCGCCCACTGCAATAGGTCCCAGCTGAGGAAACCGGGAACACGGCTCTTCCCTCCGCTGCACTGCTCCAGGCGGCCACGCTGCCTGGCAGACCACCCCTCACGCAACCTGGAACAGCGAGTTCCTGGGGGTGAAGACCCCGTCTCTTGAAACATTTTATAACCTAGTTTGGGGGGCGCTTTAGGCTTCAGGCAGTCTTCCCTCTCACCTCCATCTTCCTCCCCACGCCAAACACACACATTCCCCACCCTCCTGTCCTTCAGTCCTGGTGCCAGCATACCCACACACAGGAAACCTCTAAGAAAGTCAGTGGTTGAGTTAACAAAGGGAGAGAGGACTGGAAAGGAGCTCTCTAGAGAGGTCTCTTCCCCTTTCCGGGCCTCAGTTTCCCCACCGGTAGCAGGAGGAGGCGGGACATGGGCCACCAGGCTGCACTGAACAAGGCCCCACAGGTGGGCCCTCTGCTTATTCTGGGGCCTGCAGCTTCCAGCCCAGCTCCTTCCTAGCAGGCCGCCTTGGCGGGGCAGAGGGCCAGGTCTTGAGCCTCTGTGTCCACATTCTCCAGTGGGGATGACTCCCAGGCCTGGAGACAGGGGAGAGCAGTAACGTGGGTCTTAGGGCTCTGGAGACCTGGAAAATAGGATCCCAAGAACAAGGAAGTCAGGAGGGGAGGAATTCTCAGACCCCTCGGCCCTGATTGCTGGTGGAAGGTGCCTAATCCCTCTCTTGGTGTCCCTGAGATGGAGGGGAAACTCCTCTTGCCCCCGGGGGAAAGGCAGCATCTCCGAGTAAGAACATTAAACACAGGTATGGTCCATGGCAGGTCCTCAGCCCTCTGTGGCTAAGTTGCTGTAACCTGGGGCAGGTGCCTTTCCAACAGGTGTCTGCCCGTCCGGACATGGCCGAGGTCAATGTCACTGTTACCAGAATGTCAGGAATGCTGCTCATGAGAGAGGTGTCATAACCCACCCACCCACCCCCAACTTCAGCGGCTTCTCTGTAGGTGGGGGAGGCGGAAACAGGGCAGACACCCACTCAGCCTGCTAACCGCGCTTGTCCTTCCTCCTGCCAGCCCCTGACCCCCTGGGTGACAGCATCCACAAGAAAAAGCACACTCGGCCCACCTTCACGGGGCACCAGATCTTTGCCCTGGAGAAGACCTTTGAGCAGACCAAGTACTTGGCTGGCCCTGAGAGGGCCCGGCTGGCATACTCCCTGGGGATGACCGAGTCGCAGGTCAAGGTGAGTGTGTGCGGAGACGGTGACTGCCTGGCAGAGAGGGGCGTGAAGGACAGGGTGTATCCTTGCTCTCCCAGCAACTCTCAGCTCTCGGTGAGGGGCCTCCTGCAGTTTGGGCACTGCCTGCCCACCCAACCCTAGAGACGGCGATAATTCCCTTAACCACAAATGGCTGTCAAGACTGAGCCCAGTTTTAAAAGCTTTATTTGTAGCAGCTCCTTTGACCCTCACAGCAACCTTATGGTGGGTATTATTACCCATGTTACAGATTTTTTAAAAAGCAGTCTGAGCTGAGCCCCACTCAAGGGCACGGGCGGGGAAGAAGATCCGTGGGACTCCAGCCTCGGGCTTTCCTCTCCTCTGCACGGTCTGGGCCGGACAGATCAGGAGTCAGCCTCAGCCACATTAGGACTGGAGTCAGGCTTGTTCTAGTAGCTGGCAGAGGAAGCTGGCCTTGGTTTACCGAACTTTATGGGAAAGTTCGGATGGGATGCCAGATGCAGGGAGCCTGGAAGACGCTCATGCCCATACACCCCAGGGAGCCTGAGCTCTGTACGGCCTTTTGCCTCCTGAGGCTCCTCGGGGCAGCTTTGATCTCTCCCGAGGGACTGTGAGAGCCAGGGCACCAAAGACCGCTGTGAGCTGTGCTGGGACTGCCCGGCTCTGTGACATGGCGACAGGCTAAGGGTAAAGGCAGTGCCAGGGAAGGTGGGGACTCAGGACGGTTCTGGGCTCTGCTCAGGGCCCTGGATCTCCAGCCACTGAGCCTCCTGGCCAGCATCCACTCTGCTGGAGAGAGAGCTGCGCCTCTAAGTGGAACGAGACCATGTGGCTCCTACACATTTTTCTGCTTTGGGTGCTTTTGTGAACTCTTCAACTATCTCAAGCATGGAGACTATATTATTTTTATAATTCAGGGGAAATTTTTTTAATGAAGTTCAGTGAGGGACTGTGGAGCTATAAGAAGGGGTGACTCCTGAGCACCTACTGATGTGCCCTCACCTGGCTGCACCTCCCCATCCCCCTGTCCCAGCAGCTTCCACCCAGGCACCACCGGGAGGGTTACAGCTCAGCCTACAGGGCTGCTGCACTCGCAGTGGTTATTGTGTACTGGCCACTGAAAAACTCGCGTGACTACGACAGCCTGCTCTGTCATTAAGCCACTGGTTTACTGTGATAATAAGGACCCCGAGCACTTGCCACCGAGCGGGCCCCCTCCGCCCAGGGCCGCGCGCGCCATGTGCGATCCGCGGTCTCTCTCGCCCCAGGTGTGGTTCCAGAACCGCAGGACCAAGTGGCGGAAGAAGAGCGCCCTGGAGCCCTCCTCCTCCACGCCCCGGGCCCCTGGCGGCGCGGGCGCGGGCGGGGGGGCTCTGCTAACTCTACTGTTTGAGCATGTGACTGCGGAGTGGCTCCCAGGGCTAGATTCTCACAGCGGGGTGTGTGGGTCCCGGCCCTCCTCGCTGGCAGGGGCAGTAAGGAGGGTCAGAGTGGGGTGGAGAAGACTAGCCTGGCTGAGAGAGGAGGGAGCCACAAACTTGTCCCGGGACCGGCACCCTCTCTGCCTCTGGCCCCTCTGGGGGCCCAGGCCTTGCCCGCCAGCTCTGCAGATCCCTAAGTGCACAGGTAGATAAAATGACCAGACTCGGCAACCGGGACCCTGGCTGTGGGGTCCCAGACACACCACCGGGATCCAGCTGTGGGGCTTCTCCCGGGAAGGCAGCTGGCCCCGCGCCAGCGGCTCCCTTCTGCCCCGGGAGTTGAGAAACCAGGGTCTGGGCCCAGGGCAGCTGCTGGCTGACCGGGAAGAAACGATGGCATGTCCAGGACGGTACCCTCCTCAGACCTTGGCACTGGAGGGGCCAGAGCCAAATACATGACCCAGGCTGGAGGAAAGCCACCTCGGGGCGGGGAGGTGGGTCCCAGGGAAGAAGAAACACCGTGAAACCCCAAGTCAAGGGCCACAGCCCGGAGGGCATGGTCCTGACCTCCTTTCTCCTCTTTGCCCTCGATGGGATGCCCCCAGACTGGAAGAGACAAGAGGGCGCACAGCCGGGAACGACAGAGGGGGTAGGCAGGGGCAGAGGAAAGACGAGAGAGCCCTGGCAGCTGCTGCCACACCCCAGAGCCACCCACCTGGGCTTGCTGGGTGCTGATGCAAGGACCACCCAGAAAGAGGGGAGGGACAGTAGGGCTGGCAGAAACCTCAGCATTCCCTGCTCCTTCCACTGGGTGCCCACCAGGAAGGTGCTGGCAGGGGACCCCGGCCTGTCCTTTCCTTGGACGCCCTGAGCCTGGCACTGGAGCTGATGCTGGGGCAGGCGGGGAGGGCTCTGGCCAGCAGGGTGGTGTTTTTCATCCCCTGGTGGTGTTTGGCTACCGGCAGGTGGAAGGGCGGAGGGAGGCACGTGGGGCTGACCAGATAAACGCAGCCCAACAGGGACCAAGCATTTGCCCAGCTTCATTGGCTTTTAAAAAATAAAGAGTAAAGCTCTGGTCGATGTGGCTCCGTTGGTTGGAGCACCATCTTGTACATCAAGAGGTGGCAGGTTCAATTCCTGGTCAGGGGACATACCCAGGTTGTGGGTTCAATCCCCGGTGGGGGCACGTGTGGGAGGCAACTGACTGATTGATGTTTCACATCGATGTTTCCTTCCTTCTCTCTCTTTTTCTTTCTCTCTCCCTCCCTTCCTCTCTCTCTAAAGTTAATAAATATATATAAAAATAAAGAGTGAAAATAAAAGTCCCAGAAACCTCCCCGTGGCCCCTATTCTTCTGTGAAACTGGCTGTGGAGTCCCAGGCAGGCCAGCCCCCAGGGGCCCTCCCAGAGGGCAGGCCTCTCCCCCAGGAGGGATATCAGTGCTCTGGGAGCCCGGAGCGTTGCATGATATTGGTCAACTGAAGTTAATAAATATATATAAAAATAAAGAGTAAAAATAAAAGTCCCAGAAACCTCCCCGTGGCTCCTATTCTTCTGTGAAACTGGCTGTGGAGTCCCAGGCAGGCCAGCCCCCAGGGGCCCTCCCAGAGGGCAGGCCTCTCCCCCAGGAGGGATATCAGTGCTCTGGGAGCCCGGAGCGTTGCATGATATTGGTCAACTTGAAATCTCATTGGTATATGCCAGGCACTGTCCTAGGTGCTGAGAAACCTGAGTTTATTGGGGCCCCTGACCTCCAGGAATTCATAGCCTGGTGGGGGAAATTATCTGTTTGGGGAACTAGGTGCCACATAGAAAAGAGAATAGGGGAGAAAATACAACTACTAACATTAACTGAACACCTGCTAACTTCTCCCATGAGGAAGGCCTAGATTACCCCACCTGACCCCATAAGAAACCTAGGACGTTCTCCTTGTTTCATAAATGAGAAAACTGAGGCTCAGAGAGAACCTGAACCAAGCCACTGAATTGGGATGAGTGGACTCCAAGGCCCTCACACCAGTTTGCCCGCCGCAAGGGGCAGCCTTTTCTGCAAAATGAAAGGCTGGAATGAGAGGTGCGTTCAGGGCCCTTCCACCTTCATGATCTCTGCAAACACCAAGGCCCACGTAGCAGTGAGCAGCCTGCCCTCTTAGCTGTCCCAGCTAGTCCTGCAGCCTGTCCCTTGGGCCTGTGGGCAGGTGAATCTGGTTGGTGGAGTCAGCTCAGTTGGAAGGTGGGAGGTAGACCCCAGCCAGGAAACTGAGGCACCAGCCTGATGAACCCAGAAGACAGGGTGGGAGGACAAGAAAATAGAGATTGCTTTTAAGCTCTAACCCTCAATATGCAATGATGGCCCCATGTGGAGTCTCGCCCAATAAAGGGGGAAGGATATAAGAAGGCAGCTTCTAAGAATCGAGCACCATCTGTGTGCTCCTGGTCACAAGGTGCATTGAGGAGCTCTCCACCCACAGGGGTGTCCTGAGAGGGGCTCTGTGGCCACACCCAGCAGAAGGGGCAGCAGCCAGGGAGGACCGGAGGACACAGAAAGACAAACACCTCCGAAATCTCGGGGAGCCAGGCATGCAAAGTCATCAAGCAGGTATGGAGAGAAAGCCAGTGACCAAAAAACTGTGCTTGTTTGCCTTTGTTGTAAGCAGATTGTAATCCTAACTGCTCTGTTATGACTATAATTCTTGCATGTCTAATTCAAGTCCTCTGGAGTCAGTATTAAGTCAAGCCTGGGGGAAGTTCTTTTCCTGGGAGATGTTTGCTGAGCTAAACAAAACCTCCTCCAATCAAGGCTCTGGGACACCTGCCACTGGGCCCTGTGGCTCAAGGACTCCCGCCTTCCCAGCGTCGCCCTCCGTCACTGCTGTCCTGAGCACAGGGACCACTGCTCATACTTGCTCAGGCCTCATCAGGAGACGAGATTCGGAGTTCGAAGGAAGAGAAGAGCCCAAGGTGAAGGGCCCAGACTCCTGCGGGTAACTTGGAATGTCTTGCTCTCTGCAGATGTTCACATTTGTGTGTGTTTGTGCATGTGTGTGTGTGTGTGTGCATGACTATATGTATGTGTGTGCATATATGTGTGCATGTGTGTATGTTGCTAAAGGACAAAGGCTATCTCATTTCTGCCCTGGCTGGTGTGGCTCAGTGGTTAAAGTGTTGGCTCTCGCACTGAAGGATCTCAGGTTTGATTCCCTGTAAGGGCACATACCTGGGTTGCAGGTTTAATCTCCGTCCTGGTCATGCAGGCGGCAACCAATTAATGTGTCTCTCTCACATCGATCTTTCTCTCTCTCTCTCTCTCTCTCTCTCTCTCTCTCTCTCTCTTTCTCTTCCACTCTCTCTCTAAAAAATTAAAATCAATGGAAGAAAGAAGACTATCTCACTTCTTCCATCATAGAGAAATCATAAGCCATAAACCCACCCCCACCCACTGTTTATGTCTGGTCATGAAAGGGATTCCTTACATACAATGAGTTAAAAAATAAACTTTTAGGATATTCATGCTTCTTGCAACTTCTCTGCTGCCACATCACAAACTTTTCAGGGCTGAGGCAAGGGGGAGGGATTAAGTCCTGTGCTCCCACAGCTCTGACAGGCAGCCAGGAGGCTCCGCCAGACAGGCACAGCCCCTGCCACATCCCACAGCCCTCACACCTGTGGTTCCCATGTTAGAAGGACTGGGGACATGTCCCCAGCAGGACGGGGGTGAAGGTAGAAAATGACAGTAGGCCAGAATGGCAATGTCCTGGCCCAGTGAGCGATCCCCACCACTTCCCTGGCAATTCCATGTGCTCGGGCTTCGACATTAAGTCACCTTCCTGGCCCCTCAGGACATGCGGGTGTGTGCGTCCTACTAACGCCGTGGTACTCAAAAGCCTGGAGCAGCCGCAGCAGCAGCAGCGGTGGCCTCGCCTGGGAACTTGTTAGCAATGCAGACACTCAGGCTCCGTCTGAGACCCTCGGGATCAGAAGCTGCATTTAGCAAGATGCCCAGCAGTTCATATGCACACAGCAGCGTGAGAAGTTTGTAAGTGTGTGTGACTGGGTGAATGTGTCCAGATAACACTTCTCTTCTCCAAGCACAGAGCCTGGCCCAAATCAGGTGCTCAGTAAAATATTCCTGGACGGCTGTAGATGGGTGTAAGCGGATTCCTAGCATGTGTGACCGTGTATAACACAGTTGGAACCTGATGGTGAAGGGGCACAAGAAAGTAGCTGCGACAGGGCACACACACACACAGCTTCCCCAGGCAAGGCTGCGCCCGCCTCGGGTACAAGGCTAGATTCAGAGAGGCCCACAGCCCAGGCACAGGAGTCCAGTCCGACTCCTAGCAGCAGACAACAAGCGGCCAGAGGAAGTTCAGGAGCTCAGTCATCTGTGCGCATTTGGCAACAGGACCGAAAACCCAGCTTAGGTCAGAGGTCTGTGAAGACATCACAGTGGTTCATGTTCATAACGATGCCCCAGAACCTTCAGAAATATGAAGCTGTGTCCCTTGCCTTCTGCATAAGATGGCCAGAGGAGCATATCTTAGAAGGCTTTTCATTGGAAATTATTTTGCTTAGAATAATTCACCACCTGATGATGCTCAGATAAAATAGTACCGGATCAAAATCTGCTGTTGGATCATGTCATTTCAACTTGGTCAGAGGTTGGGTTGGGAGTTTATGGAGGAATCTCATACAAACCTGCGGGAAATGGATTTCCATCATTTGAGAGGCAGAGGCCATGGGATTCCCTGTGGTCACCTTGTCCCCAGGGCCCAGAGCTCCACCCGGCATCAGGTCAAGATACCAAAGGGCATTGGTTTGCTCCCTATAACCCAGGAGGTCCACAGTGCAGGGAAGACTCCGGCGCCTTCTAAGAAAAGGACTCCTAACTGCTCTATTCACGTCCATGCATTTGTCTTCCAAAAGCCATGTGCAATCTAGGAGCCCCATTTTCCAGATGAAGAGGCTGAGGCAGAGAAGTGACCTGCTGTACCCCAGGTCCAGGGACAGTCCGTGGTGATTCTGCTCAGCTTCACAGCCCGCGCCCTGTCCTCTCACCACACTGCCATTGCAATGACCGCATCTACTGCCACGCCTACTGATACTTCCCGCTAATGTTCTAGGGACTTGACTTGGCTCATTTCATTTTCAAAAACCCACAGGAAACAAGACTATTATTACACCCATTTTATAGCCA